TATATAACGATGATATGTGAGTATATTTGTGTATGTGTGTGTGTGTTTGTATGTGTATGTGTGTTTGTGTGTGTATGTGTGTGTGTGCGTGTGTGTGTGTGTGTGTGTGTGTGTGTTATACTGCCCGATAAAAAGAATGGGAAAACAATATACATGATTAAAGCCAATAAAAAGACAAATCTTGGTCAGTGCAAAATACAAATTTATTTATGAAAATCTGATAGATTCTCGTGGGGTGTGGTGTCACTTGCCTGTGATACCCTGGCACTTCAAACGTGGCTGGGCTCAGTATGTGACCTTGACCTTGATGACATAAGTCAGAAAGTTTTATGGCCACATAGGCTGTAAATATTACTGTTGCACATCTTAGTTGCACAACGTTTATCAGTGGGGTTTTGTCCCCACACCTAGGTGACCGATAGACTCATCTGTGCTACTGTTTATGCCCTTGAGAGCTGTTTCTGTACGGTATACACGGTTCTGTTGATTTTGGAAAAAGGCACCATCTGAGGTATCTTGACAGGCGTGATGCAAAATGATAAGAAACAAAAACTGTACAACTTTTTTTCCTTCTAAATATCACGCACAAAGTTTGTACTAGAAGAATGTTGTACTTTGGAACAGATATAATTCATTCAAAAGGAATTTGTTTGACATAAAATTTACAAAGAAGAAACTTGTTTTCGAAAACGAAAATGGCTTTTATTTTAAAAAACCCAGCTATAAATGCAAAATGCATAAATGTAAAAGATCTTGTAAGGAAAGTTATTAAATGATTGGTTTGTTTTTTTCCTTTCCTTTTCCTTTTAAAATCTAATCCTTCCATCCCTGTAACCTTTAAACAATATTTCTTTCTTCCTGCAGAGTTTAAAAAATATTTGTTTAAATTCTGGAATTTTGAGAACCAATGGTCTATATGTCCTCCTTTGGACTTGACACAATTTAACGCGTTGTTTGTAAATTTCAGTGGTGGTCAAACACAAGGATCCACTTAACCATGAGTACTCAAAGTAACGCACACTGCACACCTTACAGAATGGAGCTGTTTCTAGAGATAATAGTATGGGGGTGGTGAGGTTGCCCATACAGACTGCGTTTGTGGAGCTGATGTAGCCTGAAAGGTGAATATGGGCTTTGCCGAAGAACCAAATGTCGTAGAGAAAATTTTCAGGCTTTTCGAGACCATCGAGGAATCATAAGCACATTGCTATCCTCTGATAGCTTCGCAAACGGGAAAATGGTACAGTCGTAGATGAAGATCTGCTTTGAGAATATGGACCGTTGAGATGTAGGAAAGTCATTGATGCAGACATCGTCTACGGACAGATGTCTGATGGGCCTCATCTTCCGAATTCTGCACCCTGGTGACTTTTAAAGGGGTAAGAACGGTGAGTTTTTTTTTCATCCTGTATCAAAGAGCAGTGACACCATTTTTACAACCATGGCTGCGTCCTGAAAGATGGTAAGCCTGACTAATTGATTTAGGGCAATTGTCCCCTAAATTATGAAACTTTCACCTCCGTTGACAAGATGGCGTCCTTAGAAAAGCGTTGTTAGTCTTTACGTCACTAAGTCCAATTGCAGGATCCCCGCTGAGTCTATCATTAAAGGATATTCGTCTTTATGTTTGATTTAGCAAGTTTGCGTGAGCCTGCGTCAGTTTTGATGTTGGTGGTGGCGTAGGGTTAGAACATGGCTCTGACTTGGATGCCTGCGATAGAAACCCCGGCAATAGTAATAACTGCTGCCCTTTTCCGTTTCACAACTCTGTCTCAAATCCCTCCCTCTGCTGCTCCAATTGTATTTCTAGCAGTATCTGAGGCTGGTACCAAAAGATTCCATGCGTGGGGTGTTGAATTACTATGAAACGGTCCTGCGCCTTAGGTATTGCTCTTGGTCTGCCGAATCAAAGTTGATCTCAAAGAAGCGGTTGGTGTACAGTGTTGCTAATAGCGACGAAAGGATCCCACAGGCGATGGATGCTGTCAACGTGAACGCATAGAGCCACTGACACTTCTACAATAGAATCACCGGCTTGCAGTCGTAGTCCGATTGCTCTTTTACGATTTTGAAACTCTCGGCATCCTGTTATTTCAGATTTATCCAACTGACTAAACATTCAGGTGCAGAATTTATAGGCATAACTTACATGACTGTGTGTGCACCAATTCACCATTCCAAATATACGGCATGTGAGTCTATATTTGCAATCTTCAGATTGTATGGTTTGCTACTCAAGCGGCCAGTTGTTTATAACATGGTGATGGAACAACGTCAGGCCTAATTTTCTCACAGGCTGTAATTAACATTTGGCACCAGTGGTGTAATTTGTTTAAATTTTCGCAGCTGTAAAATTTTTTGCGATTTTTTGCCGGTCATATACTTAGAAATTTCAAAACGTATCAGTCTGTTAAAAAACTTAAATGTTGATCTTAAGAGTGTGCAACACAATTGAAATATTTTAGAAAGCGGGATGGTTTGAGCCTTCCTTCAAGGGCAAACTCGGGCTGAGCTGGATGCAGCACCTCAACAGACAAAGAAGGTACTTAATAGAATAACATCTCCAAACCTGAATCAAACAGACGTCCTCCGCATGACACGATGAAGAACCAAACGATTACAACATTGACCAAGCTTTAAAAAGACTATTTAAAAGATGTCATTATGCAGCGTTCAGCATAAGAAAACGGGGACTTTGTGGCATGTGTAGCTTACTTTAAAAATTAACGAAACAACAAAACAAGTGGTCAATTGATACTCAACAACCGCACATGGACGTTCTGCGTTGAACAATGGGGACAGAATATGTCTGTTTCTGTCCCTGAGACTGCACTACCACACACTACCCACATTTTACATTGTGGGTCGGTAAAGGAGGGGAGGGGGTGTATCGTCATTTTAGGACCCCTGCTTCCTGTCCGCAGCTGTTTCTACAAACCAACATACACCATAGAAAGACACCCTGTTTGCCACACAATATATTCTATTGAGCAAACGAAACGCAAAAAAACTATATTGGCAATAACTAAATAACCATCAATCGTAGAAGACAAAAGTTTACACCATCGATAGTATGTCATATTCATTTTGGAAATCCAAAGTTTCCTGTCTTGCATGTCACCGGCAACTAGTAGCCCCTTAATTGAAACGCGGAAAAAGCCCCGTGGTGCCTTTGAAACACAGTCTAAATGAGTGAAAAAAGGGTGAAAAGTATTCTCCTGAACTAAGCTATAAAAGCCGAGCTAAAAAATCGGTGTGGTTGTTTCGACTGCATTTACAACGATAATGCCACGTTTAAGGTCTATACAGCAAGAAAGAGCAATATGCTGTTTGGAGGGTGGAGAAAGGCCAATTGTGGTTGCCAATCATTTTGGTGTTCACATCTCGACTATCCACAGACTCATAACCGGTTTTTAGCTCACGAATTCTACGTCGGACCGAAAAAGGTCAGGTCGACCCAGAGTGACCGATGCACGTGCATACAAATACATTGTCCGGATGTATCGTTCAGATCGACCTCAGACATCTACAAGAACACCAGATTTCATCAGGGGTACCCACAGAAGAGCCATAAGTCGACACACGGTAAACCGTCGATTGCGTCAGGTAGGCTTTAGACGCCATCAACCTTACCATGGTCCAGTCTTGACCACACACCATCGCCAAGAGCGTTTCAATTCGGCCCAGCACCATGTCAACAGCCGTCTGAGAGACTGGTCTTTGGTTGTCATTTTCAGACGAATGCTTATTTTCCATAGATACAATAAACAGGGACCTCAGAGTTTATTAAGAGGAAGGCGAACGTTATTGTGACAACAGTGTCAAAGAAATGAATCGCTTGGAAGGACATTGCGTCATGATCTGGGGTGGGATCATGTGGAAGCACAAAATAGGACCAATGACCTTCCCAAATCAAGGCCTAGGTCAAGGTCAAGGTGTCAGTGCTGCCCGTTGCATAGCAGAAGTTCTTAGGCCACTCTACACATTCAAAGTTTTAACTTCGGGTTCCAGCCAGATAATGCTTGTGTGAACACTTCCCGTGTTATACAAGATTTCTTCCAACACCGTGGCATCACTCTGCAGCCTCACAATACCTTTATCACGGATTTAATCCCAATTAAGCATTTTATGACAAAATAAAATGACGCACCGAGGGGAGACAACCAAGACCGAGAACCACGCAGGGACTGGGTGTGGCCATGAGGGAGATATGGAGGAAGATCCCGCTACGTTTCGCCAACAACCTAGTGCCTTCCTTGTACCTGAGATCCCCGGCCGTTATCCTATCTAATGGTAACCAAAACCACTACTGAGCATTTTGATGCATTAACCGGAAGTTGAAAATATATTCCACTAAAATTCAATATTCAAAGTGATGCCCCACATATCCTTTCATGAAATACCAGAAAACAGTTTGAGTTCAAATTCCCCCGTTTTGTTAAAAATGGAAAACGAACATGATCACCATTGCAAAGGTAAACAGGATTTTGCGTTTCCTTTGTTCGCTACTATACATCCTGAGTATCATACGTGGTGGTGACAACTTAAAAACACAAATGAGTAAAGCAACTTTTTACTTACAAAAAAATACCCTAGTGGTTGAGGTATTTGTGTGTTTTAGAACTCTACTTTTGAGAAATATTAGAAACATTTTCCATATAAATTTGTTACTGCTCAAATAAATTTCTTACTTTTAAAAAGAAAAACAGCTTGTTTGGGCCTTGTAGAAATATCTCTTTTTATGGAAGGGAGATGAGGTTGGTAGGAATAGTATGAATTATTAATATGACGATGTGTAATTAGTAAAGATAAATCTAGCTTTAAAATATGAAAAGCTCTGTATTAATGAACAAAGATGCTATGACACCCACAGCATCCCACACAGCCAGGCCATTCAGCTTGCCAGAGACAGAAAGCTCTTTCTCCCCCTGACGCCATAGACGGTACAAAAGGAAGGATACAGTAAAATAAGTAGCTAAGATGTTTAGACTTACTTGAACAGCCACAAGCAGGAGCGAACACCCAAGCAAGGATATCTGGAAAATAGGAAATCTTCTATGTTCAAAGATATACTATAGTGCTTAGTACTCGTTGTGCAGAAAAGAAAAAAGAAAAAAGGAAATAAACCGAGGAAGAAGCTTGGGATAAACAAAACAGAGTTTGTACTTAAAGCAGGCATTGTTACTTCGTTCAAAAACAACTTTTTTAAAACTAAACAAATAGTCACAAATGTAAAAACTGGAGGGACGCATTCAATGCAGGATAGAAGAAACCAAGGTCATCAATTTAAGCAATACCTCAATTCCAGAACATCTGCATGGAAACGACATTATTAAGCTTTTCTCATCCCGTGCCAGAGTAGGCCTTCAACAAGAGAGGGGGCAGATTGTGGAAACAATCGACTGCCATACATATAACTGACACTGAAAATTGTCACTATGTAAATCTTGTCTTTCTCTCTCTCTCTCTCTCTCTCTCTCTCTCTCTCTCTCTCTCTCTCTCTCTCTCTCTCTCTCTCTCTCTCTCTCTCTCTCTCTCTCTCTCTCTCTCTCTCTCTCTCTCTCTATATATATATATATATATATATATATATATATCTCACACGGGTTTGGGGCGGGGGGTGGGGGGTATGAGAGTGTGTTTGGAAGAGAATAGGAAAAAAGATTTCTAAAACGAATCTATTAATTTGTTTCCCCTTACATTATTATGTTTTTCTCAGCCCTTTTCTCTGTCTCATCGTAAACTGTCTACATCTCCTTTCTTTTATTCTCCCTCTATCGATCTCTCTCTCTCTCTCTCTCTCTCTCTTTCTCTCTCTCTCTCTCTCTCTCTCTCTCTCTCTCTCTCTCTCTCTCTCTTTCTCCCCCTCTCCCTCCCCTCATCTCTCTCTCCCACCCTCTCTCTCTATCCTTGCTCTCTCTTTGTGTATATGTGTGTTTGTGTATTTGTGTGTGTGTTTGTTTGCTTGTTTGTCTCCATCTCTTCTCTCTGTTTGTGTGGGCGTGCAAAATTCAATAACTTTCCTATCAATAATTCTTCAGTTCGTAGGAGTATCAGCGATACATATCTATTGCAGATGTCACCGATGGCCACACGAATTTCGCTATCTTCTCTTTGAAGCGAAAAATAGAAACAATCATAAATTATCGGATAAAGTGACAAACGCGAAGCGCTCAGCGAGAAAAAGTTACAAAGGGCTTATTGACCAATTTGAGAAAAACGGTTTTAAATATTTTAAATAGTCCCTCCCCCTCAAAATATTATGATTGTCTTCATTTCTTTACCAAAGGAAAAAGTATAGGATTAAAATAATAGTGTTTTAAAAAAAAAGAAACAGTAAACAAAATTTAGCTATCATCCTACTTTTCTTAAGGGAGGGGCGGGGGAGGGGGGGGGGGCTACACCTGAAAACTATCTCACTTATTAGCTAACCCATTTTACTAAATTTCACACATATGACAGGCATAATAAGGAGTCTTTAAGTCTGCAATCAAATTTGAGAAAAAAGTTTCGTTTCCATGGATACGGCGGCCATATTAGATTTTGTTGGCATGTCTTACGTAATGAATACTGTGCTTATCTTTCATGGAAATTGATTATTTTTTGTTGTATGCATGCTAGCAAACATTAGATCTAAACATTTGCTTTTGCTTTTTTTCGTAAACCCATTAGACAATTTGTAATGCATTTTTTTCCTGAGGTAGTATTCAAGTTTGCAAAAAATCCGTGAAAATCCACACTCCAGACACCAACAACAAAAACCTCTTTAATGTATCAAAAATAAAAAATTCAACAGACCAATATTTAGTGCTACATCTTTTCTTTATTCTGTGGGAATTTCATGAAGATTGGATGAAAAATGGTGGAGTTATTCAAAAATGTATAGAGACAAATTTCCCTTGGCAGCAGCTGGACGACTTGGACTTCGCCGATGACCTTGCACTGCTCTCTCACACACATGCTCAGATGCAAGAAAAGACCAAGGAACTCAACAGCCTATCAAGGAGTGTTGGCCTACGTATACATCCAGGAAAGTCAAAAGTAGTGAAGCTAGGAAAAGTTTCAAACCTTGCTGTGACAGTGGAAGACACTCCCCTTGAAGAAGTGGACTCCTTTACCTACCTTGGAAGTGTCATCGATAGTAAAAGTGGAACCGAGGCAGATGTTAAAGCAAGAACCGCCAAGGCAAGGTCAGCCTTCAAGCAATTATCAAAAGTCTGGAAAGCAAGCAACATCTCACTGCGCACCAAGATTCGACTTTTTAACTCCAACGTCAAGTCTGTGCTCCTCTACGGCTGCGAAACTTGGAAGACAACGAAGACAGTACTGAATAAGGTCCAGACTTTCATCAACAGATATATGAGGAGTATTTTAAGAATTAAGTGGCAGGATAGAATAAGAAATGAAGAGCTGTGGGAAAGGACAGGACAAACGGATATAGAGGTAGAAATAGGACTAAGAAAGTGGCGATGGATGGGACACACCTTAAGAAAGCCCAGC